GTAACGCTTGACCTGATAACCGGCAGATTCGGACCCTATTCCAAACCAGCAACTACCCATCTATACGTACACAGCAAGTCTAACCACCCACCTTGCATACTACGAAACATCCCCGAAGCAGTTAATAAAAGACTTTCTGAAATCTCTTCTGACGAAGACATGTTTAACAAAGCCGCACCTCCCTACCAAGACGCGTTACACAAGAGTGGCTACACATACAAGCTGCACTTCACTGAACCGGAACCGCACCGACCGCAATACCAAACCAAAAGGCGAAGAAACATAATTTGGTTTAACCCACCATTTAACAGAAACGTCCAGACCAACATTGGCAGAGCGTTTATTAACCTTATTGACAAGTGCTTTCCAGTCACCCACAAACTGAGGAAAATTTTCAATAGAAACACCATTAAACTGAGCTACTCATGCACACCCAATATGAAACAGATCATAGACGGGCATAACAAAGCCACAATCAGGAACGCAAAAATGTCCGAAGAAAGCCGCCCCCAAAGATTGTGCAACTGCAGAAACGAAAACGAATGCCCTTTAGGAGGGGAATGTTTGCAAAGCGAGGTTGTCTACCAAGCCACAGTCGCTACCAGGGAAGAAACTGAAACGTACGTTGGCCTCACAGCGACAGATTTTAAGACTAGATGGCGCAACCATCGAATGTCGTTCAACCACGAGAGACGGCGAAATGACACAGAGCTGAGCAAGTACCTGTGGAAACTCAAGGAGAAGAGGGAAGACTATCCGGACCTTTTATTCAAAGCTAACCCCCCCTCCCCCCCAGCGGCTCCCTTACGTCGGGCAGTGGGAAAACCGCTTGGCCACTCAATTTAACTGGGCACATGTCTGGAAAGAAATCTTTGGGGCTGGTCTGAGTACCAATTGGGAGAGCGAAATTGCGTGGCGGATCGCTCACGGCGTGGTTAAAACCAGGGCTTACCTCAAGTCCTGGCGAGGCCTCAGCGTGAGTGATCATTGCGCAGGCTGTAGAGAACGCGAAACCATCACCCACGCTTTTATCTCATGTCGCCTGGTGTCCCCTGTGTGGAGCTGGGTGTCGAAATTGCTCACCCAACTCTATGATAAACCCTCTCCTTTATTGGAAAAAAATTATTTTATTTCGCCAGGGACTACCCCGCGGCTCCCACTTTGAACCCTCAAATCTGATCTGTTCTTTTCTGATTAAAATTACGCTTAATGAGCTGTGGGCCGCCCGGAACCTGGACACTTTTGAACCTAGACGGCCTCCAGCTCAAACAATCATCACTAAAATCAAAGCCCGAATTCGCTCTCGCATCAGCGCCGCTTTCAATCTTGCTCCGCACGCGATTCTCACTACTTTGTGGACTCACCGGAGCGTTCTGTGTACATACGAAAACCAGACCCTTACACTCAAAATTTTATCCCCTCGCCCTGATGGGGTTTTCTTAATTGAAGTACTCCACAGAGCCCCCAGCCCCCTGGCACACTTCGATAAATCTTGTATAACTGTGGTTTGTAATCACTCCCGCTAGCCTTACAGCACAGCGGTTTTTGTCTTTTCAAGTTTCGTTATTCATAACTTCCCCTGATTTTTTGTGATTCCAATCACCGTAGCTAAATCATTTCATCATCTTCAATCAAATTAACAATCACTTTATATGACAACAATATGTGAATAAAATTTGATCTGACAAAAAAAGAAAAAAAAAAAGTACTGTCTGCAGTTAGTTATATCTATATATATGTATATATAATGTGTGGTAGTCGGAAAAAAAGAACTACACGTGCATCCCTAGAGACCTGTTTCGTGGTTGCCCACTCATCAGGGGATTTTACTGGTAGAATAATGCGATACCATCGCTTATGTATTACACTAATTGCTAATTAACATGGTTTATGCAGTGTGAAAAGTGTCAAGTCAGCTGTTGCGTAGGAGTGCTTTGTTTCTGTGTCGGCAGGAAGAGACGAGTTCGTTACGCTTGTTGAGTGTTGATAGGTCTGGGTGGCAGATGATTAGGAATTTCTCTTTAAGGCATAGGTTGCATCGTTTGCTTGAGCTGTTGTAGGGCAGGTGGGAAGATAGGATGCGCCAGGTGATGGAATAATTGATGTTGTTGTCTTTAAGTGTCCAGATGTGTTTGCTGAGTTCGGTGGAGTTGCGGTGTTTTGCGTGTCGGAATGATGAGGTGTGGTTGTTGTAGCGCGACTTAAAGTCGTTTGCAGTGAGCCCGATGTATGTGTCTGTCGTGCTGTTGTCTTTACGTGTAATGGTAGCTTGGTATATGACAGATTGTTGGAGGCAGTTTCCGTCTAGAGGGCATGAGTTTTTCTGTCGGCAGTTGCATTTCTTGTTGTTGTTTGCGGTAGAGGTGTCGGTTGTGGCGGTGGCGTTAGTCTTTACGTGGGAGGTGAGGATTCTTTTGTTGTGGTTGTCGATGATTTGTTTTGTATTGTCCATGCAGCTGTAACTAATTTTGATTGTGTTTCTGTTGAAAATTCTGCGGAGCTTATGATCTTTGGGGAAGTGTTTGTCAATCAGCGCGAGGAATTTATGTCCGATGTTAGTGCTGGTGTTCTTGGTGAAAGGCGGGTTGTACCAGAGGATGTTGTTGCGTTGGCGGTTCTTGCGACTTTGTGTGTGCGTTGGTTCGTAGTGGAGTGTGTAGCTGTAACCACTGGTGTTTAATGCTTTCTGGTAGGCGGGAGCGGCTTGGTCGAAGGAGGTTTTGTCGGATGAGAGGGATGATAAGCGTCTGTTGATGCCGGCGGGGATGTTTTTCGTGGTGGACGGTGGATGGTTGCTTTCGCGGTGGACGTATTGTAGTGTGGTATTGGGTTTGGTATATGGCTGGTAGGTGTTTTGGCTGAGGTTAAATGTGACGTCCAGGAAGTTGATTACTTGTTTGTTAGCTTCTATGGTGATGTGGAGTCCGTTACCGCCGGCATCAACAGACGCTTATCATCCCTCTCATCCGACAAAACCTCCTTCGACCAAGCC